GCTTCCTGGACGCGCTTGGGATCGGCGCGGGAGCGCGAGCTGCAGCCGCATTGTTTCCCGGCTGCCTTATATCTCGTCGCGCGCCCGGGACTCGGGGACCGGGGGCGGGCCCTATGGGATGAGCCCCGCCCCCTCCCTGCACACTTCCCCGTAGTCGACAGGTGGGGCCGGCCCTACCTCCTGGCTGCGCTCACCCGTTCTATTCTGTACCCTCTAGCCCCAAAATAAATTGCACGCTGGGGAGTGCGGAGCTGGAGACGAGGTGATTAGCCCGGCGGTCGCCTGGTGGCGGCGTGATTCTCCAGCGAGGCCCTCACTGTCTCCAGCCGGTTGAACTAAGCCGAGCTCCTCGCCCGCTCTGGGCTGGGGAATAGGGTAGGGCTATTCCCCGCCCCACCCTGCGAGCCTACTTCCCCGGGCGCGCCCCACTTGGTTCAGGTGCGGCCGACCCGCCGCAGGGGGTGGGGGTGGGGGGGCTGGGCAACCGCGCCACCTGGCGGCCCACAGCCCTGAACTTGGGTTGGTCCCGGCGCCCGCCTCTTCACTTGTAGTCCCGTTTCTCTGGCTCTGTGGCCCCAACTGACACTGCAGAGAAGCGAAGTGATGAATATTCCGGGCTTTAGAGCCTGCAACTTAACCTTTCCGAGCCACAGTTTCATCTGCAAAATGAAGGGATGGTAGTACTTACCTCAGAGGGTTGATGTGAGGGTTTCAGAAGATAGAGCATCCCGGGAAGGAGCCAGCGTCGGGAGGAGAGGCAAGCAGAAATGTCTTCACCCCTGGGGCCCTGGCCGTGGAGAGGAGGAAAGGTTTTCTCCAGGCGAGGCCAGAGCTGAGACCCGCCCTACTCCCTTACCCCTAACACAGAGCACTCGGTAGGAACCACGCTACGAGAGGAAAGAGAACAAGGATTTGGAGTCTGGAAACTTCGTTCAAGCCTTCGCTTTGCCACTTGCTAGACGTAGGGTCAAGTTGTTTGAAGCTTTACCCTGCATCTCTGGTCAAGATGACAGACGTATAACCCCTTTGTGTCATCTTCTTCTTTTTTTTTTTTTTTTTTTTTTGTTGAAGTCTCACTCTGTCGCCC